TTCACTTTTGCAAGACGTGTGACTGGATACTACCATATATACAACTGAACGCCACAAGGAAAAACTCTCTTCCTAAATTTGACAGATGTTTCAAATATGAAACTTTATTTCCGTCATCCGCAAATTAATTGGACAAACACAAAACGTATACGATATCGCAGCCTCCTCGCTAGTCCATTTATCCATTTTAATTTCTTTAGATAATTTGTTCCGGATGTAGATGTAGCCCTCGTAGCCTTGAATTAGAGCCTTACGTCCTCCCTGAGGAGGGGGATCGCCCCTCTAACGGGACGTTTTCCGCAGGCGAATCGTGCATCGTTTTTGTTTTGTCTCTTGCTCGTTGCAGTGTCACGGCGAGCTGCGCTACGCTGGCTGGCGTCTCGGGGCCGTGCTGCTCCTGGCCGGCGCGGACGTCGCGTCGCTGCCCATCCCGGCCCTGCTCGGCTGCGGCCGGGTCGGCTGGGCGGCGCACGTCGCGGGCGCGCTGGCGGGCCCGCTCCTGGGCCTGGCCGTGTTCCCGAACCAGAGCAAGAAGGACGCCCGGGGCCGCAGGTTCGTGCGTTACGTGCGGCTGCTCTCGGCCGTGAGCGTGATGCTGCTGATCGTCGGCGCCGTCCTCGGCAACGTCTACCTGATCGCCCTGCCGCAGCTCAGGAAGCCGTCCTCCTGACAGAGGATCGAGATGCTCGTCAAGCTCTGCCGGCGGTCCTTCCTGATCGTCAAGATCCGGGAGGCCGCGGAGAGCGTGTTCGAGTAGAGGACAGGACCGATCTGCCGCAGCTGCCGGTGGCAGCTTTTCCACTCTACTCTCGCCTCTCAGAGGCGATCTCGCGCGAATCTCATTATCCGTTATTAAATAATGCGAAAGGAACCGTGTCTAAAATAGCAAACCTAATCACACTTGACTTTGAGAAATCCGAAAATTCCCCCCCCCTCCCCCCGGGGGGGAGGATCGTGCGATCGATGATTCGCACTCGTGCGAGGAAGAGACTTGAGCGTTGGGTCGAGGAGATATCAAAGATCGACGATTCCCTTAATTTGTTCGTGCTCTACTCGCTGCCATTAGGATTCTCTCGAGAATCTCGAAGATTCGTTCGACGGAGTGTACGTTGATAGAACGGTGGAAATATTCGAAGGTGCGAAACTCTTCGCGCCTGAAACTTTGATATTAAATTTGATATTACGGACATTGAGTAAAGCGTCGCGACTTTTTCTACTTTCGACAGGTAAGACGGTTTTGAAAACTGCCGATTAATAAACTCTCAATAGGGTCGATATATACGTATATGAATAACATTTAATAATTACGCATTCGATTATTTATTTATTACAATTCGATTTTCTCGTTATATTCACCTCGATATACATATGGGGCGAGCAAGATGAAGGTGTGAATTGAAGGGTGTATAATAAAAGTAAAAAAAAATTTCTCTCGTAACGATATCACGAAACTGAAGCGACACGCGTTTGACGGTGTAAGTTTGTCCAACAATGAACAAACGATTTATGCGTAAGGTAATTTGTTTGAATTCAATGCAGGAGGACGAGATATTGTTGTTGGCTCGCGGTTTTCGAGTACGTTAAAAGCTAGCACGTCTAGCGATATTGAGGACGATGCGACCTTCATTCTTTCGATTATTCATATTATTAACGATTTAGCGTGTAAGAGAGATGTGTAAGAGGAAGGAGATGTAATGTAAAATAAAATCGATCATATTACTTACTTAAACGTAAACGTGTTACGATGTAACGAGAATTTTAATAATGGCAAGATAAATATGTTAATCTATCGTTAAATAAACCAAAGTTTAACAACGTGCGACTGACGTGCGAGATGAACTACGATGAACTCCGAAAAGCGAAGCTAATTTTGCTGTTGTAGAAATAACATCGTAATCTCCCGACCCTTATCTTTTGACGTGTGTCAACTAATTGTAGAGCGAAGAGAAGATAACGGAATTGGGGAGAAATTCCAAATTGAATTCCTTTCACGTTAAGCCAGAGTCCTGCCATGTTTCCCCCGATAAGTGTGGAGGAGAAGAGATTACCTTTTATAGCATAACGCAAAAGCGTAACGCGCGTTTCTTATTTACGAAGCTGTAAAACTTGCGAAAGGAATATTTATAGCGTAGCGTAGCGTCTTTAATCACGATGTGCGGTGTTTGTTAAGAGAGCTCGTGTGCGTACAGATTTCGGGGGCGATCATCAATTTTCGCGTTGTTTCTCTCCGATTTATCATCGGAGCCGACGATCGACGTAGTGCATCGTAAACGTAAAATTATCGTCGTTGCGCTTGCTCGGATTAACGGCTTGGATTAACAGCTTGGGCTCGTCGAGGTTTTCTAATAAACAATTAGAAGGCAACGAGCGTGAGATGCAATGATCGTGGCTCGTTTTATTTGAAATTGGAAATATCCGAACGATCAAGCTTTCTTCACTTGATTTCGGTGTATCCCTAGTCGCCTTTACAGTTTGTTGATATCCGAAAAACCATTGGAAAAATTGGCGCGTGGTGAAAGAAGAAGAAAGAAAAAAAAAAGAAAAGAAATTAGTGCCGAAATGAATTATAATTGCGCGTAATAATAATATACGCATATATATATATATATATATATATATATATATATGTGTGTGTTACAAATTTAATTTGTCTACAAAAGATGTCTAATTTAGCGGGATAATTTAAATTTTGACAAGAGCCAATTTTTTTGCCGAATGATTATCCCTTCCTCTTTCCCTCCCTCGTCCCTTCGCCGCTGTAGTATTCCAGCCTGATATATCTTTTGCATTCGGTCTGGAGAGATAAATTACGAAGATAAATCAAAACGGCACCCTCCTCTCCCCATACCCCCGGTATATAGATGGATAATTCCCATTAAAGAGGAAAGGCGGCCGTGGCAAGCGAATACCGCGCCAACTTCCGCCTTCATCCACTTATCCTTCCGAGGCACGGAAGGACTATTTCTCACAATTACATCCTGATCGATCCTGCCTGGAACATGGATTCTCCTAAGGCCTGCCGGTTATGACCGCCGCGCGACATCCCGGGAATAATGCTCGCCGCCGATACAGGGAGGGAAAATGACGAAAGGCACGAAAGAAATTAGAAAGAGGAATCTAGAAATCCCGGGGATAAAATAAGAGGGACGACGAACAATCGCGGCGAGCTATAAAACGGATTATACCAGCGATATCTATCTGTAATCGGGAAGATAGGATCCGCGCGATTACGCGCGCGGATAAAAAAGAGAGGCGTAAGAATGTCAAACCGTCGTTGATCCCCTGTTGATAAAAAAAAAAAAAAAAAAAAAAATAAACGCGGGAAAGTATTGGAGAGAGAGAGAGCGTGGTGGTATTTTCTAATTTTGTGCGCTTTCTTTTCTTTCCGTCCTGAAAAACTGAAAATCATTAAGGTCTCTTTATCTTTTTTTCTGGAATATTCGATATTCTCCAACTATACGTTACGTTCTACGAGTTCAAGAAGCCAGTAAAGTATTTAAAGAAAATTAATGAAATTCCCGAACAATTAAAATATTCAACGCTCAAGTTTTGTTAATTTAAGTAAATCCGCTTCGTGATGCGGGCTGCATTTACGACGAGAACTACGGAGGTTACGAAGACACTCCGTAATGATGCTACCGACGCGATATTACAGCCAGCGGATATTACATCCAGTTAGAGTAATCTGACCACGAACGTCGGTGTTTCGTTATCGAGGGGGTCATCGAGACCGAGTCTATCGGTTCTGCTTGGATAATTACGTGGTCCAAGTTGTCTGAAGTTTTAGTCGAAGATCCATCGCTCTGCCAAGACATCTTGGCGGAGCCAAGGTATAACAACGGGCTGTCTTGATAGTTCCAGAGATTCGTAGTTTCAGACAGCATCTAACTACATATATATACCGATAATATATACTGAATTATGTTATCGTAATAAACACATCCAAAATGGCAGCTAAATAGATAATAAGGCATTTTTACAGATTGATTTTCTATGAAATTTAAAAGATAAGAGGATAAATATGGGAGTGATCGCTATTTCACTAAGAACAGTGATTGCCCTTTAATTCGACAAGATTCACGATGGTAAAAGAACTTGAAAATTTGTTAAACTTCAAAATTCTTCCAAGTAAAATCCGATTATTCTAATCTAAATGTCTCACTTCTTTATTTTAGTAATTTTATATAGAGGTTCCACTTCTTTCTCTCTTGCACACATCCAAAATCTCCAATACTACTTAAATCTTGAAAACATTTAAAAGTTTTCGTTATTGTAAAATGCAAGATAAAACGAGAAGTTAAAAAATACTATCTATAATATATTAAGTAAATATTGCCAAATCAGTGAGCAACTTCTTTCTTGAAAATATTTCACGCAACGTGTATGCACTTTCAATCTTTTCAGGACAGTTTTCATGGGGGGACGTTTGATTTGAGGCGGGACGCCTCATTTCTTTTCTTACGATGACCTTGAATCCGTGTCCGATTTAACATTCCAACTGTTTGCACCGGACACCAATTTCCGTACATCTGCATTCTTCACAAGGACTCGAGAGCTCCGCGATAATTCTACCGACGCGATACATTCGCCCGTATATATTGCAGCCCGCCAGCTTCAGCAAACTGCCCACGGACATTGGTATCTCGTTGTCGAGGACCTTCGAGGACGTTTCGACAGTTTCCGTCTCCTCGGTTAACCTTTCCGTACTCGTCGATGAAACGACAAAGACAAGAGTCTCCTGATCCCCTCGTACACCATCAACGGAGGAAACATTCGGCGTCCTTGTGGTTTCGGTCAGCTTGTTGCTGGAACTGGTATTCGAGGAAAATAGCAGCTTAAGGACATTGTCCAAGGAAAAGATGGTGACACCTTCGGCGGCTTCCTCGGTGGTCTTTCCGTCTTCGCTTGGGAAATTATCCGACTCGGTGCGATTGTCGTACCTCGTCGTACGATTGTCCTCCTCCTCGCCGGTGGAGTTTCTGTCGAGATCGTCGCTCTCGGATACGTTTCCCTTCGCGAACTTCTGCCCCGTAGCATAGAAGTCGTACTTCGAACTGTCGATCGTGCCGTTCAACTCGGTCAACGTTGCTCCGTCGTAATTGAAGACACCCTCGAGATTTTCGGAAGAAGGGCCATCCAGGGGAATCTGATTTTTCGGATCGTACGTTAACGAAACGGTATCCGTCGAAGACACGTCATGGCTCGCTCCGTAATTCACCCTCGAAAGGAAAGAGGAATCGATCGTTTCTTCTCCGTAATCGAAGGGCGGCTGTATCAGTGGCACCTGTTCCATGAAGTCGAAATTGGACGAGTGTTGCAACTGATTGCCCATCGAGCCTTGGGCCGAAGTCTTCGAGCCCATCATAGACGTCGTCGGCGTCCTGGGCGTTGTGATACCACGTTCTACCAGATACGGGATCATGTCCTCGATCAGGGAAGGTAAGTCGGGAGCTGGCTCGGTCTTGATGACGTCACGAAACGGATCGGGGGACACTGTGGGTTGTCGTTGAGACGGTGCCGTGGCGTCGGCACGGTCGAGCACCACCGTTGGCGATTCATCGGTCTGGACTGTAAGGTAAGCAGATAAAATTGATTGTAAAAGGATACGCGCGCGTATCTTTACGTATAAACAATTCCAATAAAATTTTACGCGCATATCGCGCATTTAAATTTATATGGCAACGCAAGTTATACCACAAACGATTTTTCCGCAACACTTTTCCTCGGAATTGATTCTGCGACAACCAATTTTCAATGGCGGACACTTCTCCGAGGAGCAGACGACCTCTCCGTAATAACACATGCAAATTATGCACAGAGCGGCACGTGGTAAGATCTCACCGTGATGGTATTCCACACTTTCAAAATGGCACTTATTCGATAAATCTAAAATTCGGCAAAACAAGCGAATTATTAATATATGTTTAATACAAGAGTATGTTGTTCCACTGCTGTTCAACGTTCATCGAACTTTCGATAGATCAGCAATTAATCGAGAATACTTGCCGTTATTTTTCGATGTGGATTTGTAATTTGTGGAATTACGGTAACTCCAGTGCCAATCTCAAGATTTAAATCCGTGGAGCGGTAAGGAACATCGAAATATGGCGGCTCTCTAGGTACAAAACCACCTATGAACATATGTCTATTCCGTATTGTTTACATAAAAAATATCACGAACTGCAGTATTAAAATTATGCTATTACTATTAATATTTAAATTAAT